ACGTCACGCGCCACGTCGGATCGGTCAACTCGTTTTTTTGACCAAATAACGCTATAGACGATTATGAAACCGTTTAACAAGTTTAGGATTTAACGTGATCAATTGTAAGTTTGAGAATTAATAGATATCTCTATAAGTTTAGAAATTAATATTATTTCCAATTACAAGTTTATGAATTTTTAGAGTTTTTTCTCTTTTGTATAAGATGCCACATTTTATCTTGGATGGATTTTGACATAACACAAATCACATAAATAATTAATTAGAATTACTCAAATAAAATACAGATTAAAGGTTACAAACTATGAAAATTAATTGATAATTTCGATTTATTTAAAAAGTGATATACTTTCCTATCAAATTACACACATATATATATATATATATATATATTGTCGGTCGGTGGTCAAACATCTGCAGCTTCATTTATGCCGTAAACTTTGGTGGTTAACATAAAATTGTACCACTCATCTTCATATATAACCATTTTTTTTCTTTTCAACTACAAAAAAGAAAAATCATTGACGTGCAAGTAAATCTTCTGGCTCTAGACTTTTTTGTCGTTTTCCGAAAAAAACTTTTAGTCGCCTCAAGAATTTAGCCAGAACCAAATTCGGGTGTATTAATAATAAGATAACATGTTTTTTTTTTATGTTTAAATTTAGAGAAATATTCATCCAAACTTTCTCTATCTTTTTTGAAAAATTTACCCAACTCTGAAAGATATAGTTGAATAAATGATGTGGTGAACTTTTTTATTATAAAAAAAATTAATAAGACCAAATTTATTTTACAGTGTAAAAACAGATTATCAAGATTATAAAAAACTATTTTTTAATGAGTATCTATATTTTTTTAGAAAAAAAATCAAATTTTAAACTAAAACTCATATGATATTTATAGAATATATTTTGTTATTAAATCGATAGATATCGTTTTAGATTTTTTTTAGATTATTTTTAAAAAAAATCTAGAATTTTATGTTTGATTAAAAATATCTAATTTCAATAGCTGTTAATGAAATATGATTTAATAGGGATATATATAATTTTTTTTATATTTTTTTTAAAAATAGTTTAAAAATCTAAACATCATTTATTTTAAAAAAATGGAGGAAGTAATTACTAAAATCACATGAAAAATAATTTATAAATTTGAAGGAAAAAAAAGGGGTTGTGACTTGTGAGGTATGTCCCATGTAATTAAAACACACTTTAATTTCCCGACAAAGTAACGGCCTTCATGCATCCCCTTCAGAAAAATCGACACACTTCCATATGCAATCTCAACTCTTCCCCCAAAATCAAGCTCCTTCCTTTATTTTTCCCCTCATAAAGAATTTTTTTTTCTTCGCCTGTTGGATTCAATTTGTTTGATGCGAGCAAAAACAAAAATCTTCATCAGATGGAAAACCCCATTGGATTCACGGGAAAATTCTGCAGAAGCAACAGCAGCAATCACAGTAATGTCTGGTTCGTTGTCTTAGTCTCCTTTGTCCTCTGTTCCGTCCTCCTCTGTTTCGACTACTCTTCTCTCTCCGTCACCGACACCGATGTTGCCGGATTCGCAATTTCCGACACAACCCAGAACTCAGTTTCTCGTGATTTTTCAGGAGATGGAAACTTTTCTCGATTTTATGACGACCCAGTTTCTGATTCTTGCTTTGGTCGCTATGTCTATGTTCATGATCTTCCTCGTAGATTCAACCATGATTTGCTTGAGAATTGTAGTTTGATCACTAGGGGAACAGAGAAGAACATGTGCCCGTATCTGGACAACTTGGGTTTCGGTCCTGAAGTGGAGAACTCGGAGAATGTGCTGTTGAATCGAAGCTGGTTTGTGACGAATCAGTTCATGTTGGAGGTGATTTTCCACAACAAGATGAAGAAATACAGTTGCTTAACGAACAATTCATCTCTAGCTTCTGCGATTTTCGTCCCGTTTTATGCCGGTCTCGATATGAGTAGATTTCTTTGGGGATTCAACACTTCTGCCAGAGACTCTTCAGCTTATGAGCTCATGAACTGGCTTGTGAATCAGAAGGAATGGAATCGAATGTCGGGGAGAGACCATTTCTTAGTTGCCGGAAGGATTTCTTGGGATTTCAGGCGACAATCAGATAACGAATCTGATTGGGGGAGTAAACTCAGATTCTTATCAGAATCTCAGAACATGTCGATGTTGTCTGTAGAAGCAAGCTCTTGGAACAACGATTACGCGATTCCTTATCCAACCTGTTTCCATCCTGCTTCTGTTGACGACATTGTCCAGTGGCAAGAGAGAATAAGGGCCCGAAAACGGAAGTATCTCTTCTCGTTTGCTGGTGCTCCAAGGCCGGAATACAAGGACTCGATCCGAGGGAAGATCATAGATCAATGCTTGGAAAACAATGACCGATGTTTCTTGCTGGATTGTAACTATGGGAAGGTGAATTGTGATAACCCTGTTAATGTGATGAGGGTTCTAATGAACTCGGTGTTCTGTCTTCAGCCTCCAGGAGATTCTTACACTAGAAGATCCGTGTTTGATTCAATCATAGCAGGTTGTATTCCCGTGTTCTTCCATCCGGGAACTGCATACGCGCAATACAAATGGCACTTGCCAAAGGACTTCAAGAAATACTCGATTTATCTTCCGGTTAAGGACGTATCCGAATGGAGAATCCAAATAAACGAGACGTTGCTCGGGATTCCAGAGGATCAGGTCACGAGTTTGAGAGGGGAAGTAACGAGGCTGATACCGAGGGTGGTTTATGCAGATCCGAAGTATAAACTGGACGGGAATGAAGGAGAAGAAGAAGGAGATGCATTTGATTTGGCAGTGAAGGGAATGATAGAGAGGATTGAACAAGTGAGGAAGGTGATGAAGGAGGGGAAGGATCCTGGTGATGGTTTTGCTGATGCAGATGATTACAAGTTCACTTTTCCTCCTTATGAAAAATCTGAAATTTTGATTTGATAAATGTATGTGTATGAGATTGTATTCTTTTTCTTTTCTACATGTTCACACCCCCAAATCTTGCATGTTTCTCCAAAAAAAAATGTTATAATTTCATGAATCAATAACCATTAGTTATATCATTGATAGCCAAGTTCATGATGCTGAAATGTGAAAAGTCTATGATATTGTAAGAATTATAGGTTAGCTATACCAACATTATTGTACTAAGTTTAGTTAAGTTGTGCAGTTTTATCTCTAGTAAAACTCTCCAACTGGTTAGGGGTTAACTGCTAAACCGAACCGGTCAGGAACATAGCTTAATTTTTTGGTATGCAATTGAACCGGACCGGTTAATGTTCTCTCTTTCAAAGCTGCAGAAAAGTTTCAAACTTTGAATTAAAATTATCAACAGTTCTTATTTCTGGATGGAGCTTTTTACAGAGACAAACAAATCTAAACTTGTGATCCAATAATCCTTTTTAGCTACAAAACTAAAATACATTTTAGAGCAAAGTCTGTTTTTCTACTTGTAGAGCTTTGCTATTTCATCCTTGTACTTCTTCACGACCTTGTCCCGTCTGATTTTCATCGTCGGTGTCATTAAACCATTGTCTATCTGCAGACATTGTACAAAGTTTCATGTCAAAGTTTTGATCTTTTCTGTCCAAGAATGAACAAAACCTCGACAAGTCCCGGTTTTTACCGTGAAGGGTTCATCCACAATCAAGACTGGTCCGACTTGGTAGGAGCATTCTGAGGTCCTGGCCTCAGGAAAAAAAAAGACGTAAATTCATATGCAAAACCCTGTTCTTGTCTGATTATGTCAAGAACATGCTCGTTTTAGCTAAGCTTTTTATGTTCTGATTATGGCAAAACCAGTGATGAACACAAGCTACCAGAGTAAGTTGAATGGAGAATCATTACCATTTCCTCAGTTCTTCATAGACCATGCTTGTCAGTTTCTCCTTGCTAATAAGCTCGGAAGCTCCAGGATCTGTGTCTGAATTGTTATTTTTCGGTGCTATATCTGCTTCTTCTTTGTTTGGGACTATAATTGCTCCAATACGGCGTTGATCCTGGAATGACAACTCACGGGGGGCATCCCAAGAACGGGTAAGCAAATCTGTTCAATGCCGTTTCTTGTAGGACCAAGTCTCAGACAAGTACCTGACCGATAACCACGATTTGCTGAATCAAACTGCTTCTCAGGGCAGCTTCTTCGATCTCCAAAGGCTCCACATTTTCACCTACATTGATACATAGACAAGGAAAAGGCACATTCTTTTGTTTATGTTATTTGAAATTTGGGTTTTATTCAAGGAAAATGAAGACAAAGTATTTCAGTATACCAGTGGAAAGTACGATCGTGTCCTTGGCCCGGCCTTCAAGAACAATGACACCTCCACAGCTACAGCTCCGTCCTATCAAATGATGAGGAGCAATCCAACCCATATCCCCTGTATCGAACCATCCATCTTCATCTAGAACTTGCTTTGTGGCCAGTGGATTCTGAATATACCAACAGAAAAGACGTGATAACTTGATATTATCATCAAACTTTAAACATACATCCAAACCCACGAAATGTTCAACTCAACTATAAAATCTCTCTGCCGCTTAAAAGATGAACCACAAGGAAGCAAACAAATCATGATATCGTAAGTTCCGGGTCTTCTTTTCATAAACTTTTGGTAAAATTAGTACGATCATTAGAAGTGCAGAAGGCAATATTACCTTGTAGTAGCCTTTCATAACTTGGGGACCTCTGACTTTGACAATGCCCTTCGAACCAGGTGGGAGAACGTTGTTAGTCTCAGAGTCCACGACTTTGAATTCTGTATCTTGAATTGGATGCCCAACTGATCCAAGAACCTTCAAAAAGATTTTATGAAAGAAAAGGCAAAGTATGAGACTACAATACTTGACGTGCAACAGGAAAGAATTCGATCACACGAGAGAAATAAAGGGGAAAATGGCATATCAGCAAAAATAATGCTTCAGACCAGTAAACTCCATTTGTTTTTTACACATTTCCATGTCAGTCTGGCATATGGGAAATTTGGCATAGCTTATATTGATGCAGGCACCATAGCTAAGGACTAGAGGCAAGAACCCCCCAATGCCCCAGTGAGGAAATTTCTCAGGGGAACATCGGCATTAATGTATAATCTATGATCATTCATAGAAGAGAGATTTCAATCAGTAATCTAAGATTGTTCATAGAAGAGTTTGAAGCTCGAGTAGAAGGGGAAACAGGGATGGCTTACATTACAGCTAAGCCTCCGAGCCGAGATAACTGGTGATGTCTCAGTCAAACCATATCCATTTTGCACATTCACCCCAACAGCCTGAATGGATTGGAACTGTACACTTAGATATGGAATGAAACCACTTTGTTCAAAAGCAAAATTATTTAACTTTATTGTTCTCAAATATCTTTCGAGAGACATGAGTGGAAGCAGGAAACTCAACCTCAAAGAACTTATCGACATGCATGGGTAAACTACCACCTCCGCTAATACCAGCCTGCAGGAAATGAATTATAACAACCAGATCTAAATTACTGCCATTACATAAGGTACAAGAAAAAGTTTGGAGAGAAATACAAATCCAGTAGAACAGATGGGGAATATAAATGTGATACCTTCGATATTCCAATAGAAGAAAGAATTTTTCTGTAGACGAATCTTTTGGCTAACATATGCAGTGGCCATAATATGGCAGCAGCTACTCTCGCAATCAGCCAGTCCACAAGAGAAATGAGATATGGTGGAGGATTTTGATTTTTTGTCAGACAGACACCCTGCAAGCCAGGCCAAATACCTGACAACTCCAAACTCCACAAATAGAAATCAACCAAAATTCAAAGCTACATGTGGCCTCTGACCTCATAAATTCTTCTCATCTCCATATACGCAAGGCTGATCTTGATCAATGTAAGTGCCACAAACTTACGAGCAGCTGAACTTGTAGAAATTTGCTTTTGAATCCCACTGCAATTTTCCGAAAAGAGGGGGAAAATTGTTCTTAGAAACAACCCTTAGGAGAGGATGATGAGCAGAAATTGATGATTCGGTCATAGGGCAGCCCGGTGCACAAAGCATCCCGGGGTTCCAGGGAAGGGACCCGCCATTGGAAATCTGGGGCTCGAGCAACAGACCCTCAATAATTCTTTACTTATTCAGCACATCAAGGTCTAGCATCTATTCATAGGTCTTCTTAAAGTCCCTTTCAGACCAATTCAACAATATCATACACGAATGTTTTGAAAAATTCCTGAATAACAGTATTTCTCCAGGACCACTCAGCAACAAATCAACATACTAACGTCTGCAAAGAAATATGAAGTTTCTTGATTGTAAGATATGGCTTCAATATGCATCAATAACAAACACTTTTAGAAAAATGGATCAAACACATTAGCGGAAAAGTATACTGATAGATAATCAATTACAAATATTGGGACCGATGTTTCATCAAATTGGCATGCTTTGGAACATTACAGTCTAGTACGTGGTTTGTGTTATGTTCCCTTAACTTGGAAAGTAGCATACCTGTACAGTGTCTCATACACTAAAGGAACTGAAATAAGGTAGTGTGGTTGATACCGCTTCAGATCATCCTACAAAAAGAAGAAGAAAGGATAAAGCCAAGGAAAATTCATCTTCTCCCACTTTCAAGGCTTAGATGCGTGTTTTAAAATATCGCAGCAACAATAATATGAAGAATTCACCATATATTTCCCTCATCATCGAAAGAAACTATCGTCATAATCGAAGAAGTGACTGTAGCATCATTCTAACTAGGACCGAGCCGAAAGAATGCCCACCGTTCTTTGACACATGGGATCAGTGAGTGCAAAAGAAACTGACCTAACAAAAAACCGAAAAAGGAGAATTACCTTTAAGTATCTTATAGAAGTATACATTTGCTCAACTCCATGTGTGAATATGAAGTACTCACAAGAGCGTTCATAGGCATGCCATGAGGGCAGCATACTTAGAAATCTATCCCCGGGTTCA